AATCCTCTCATTGGAATCGAAATTAAACAAATTCTGTTTTTCATGCACTATTTTTCTATAAATAAAATATAATTTATGCACGTCGCGATACATTCCTGTACTGCAATACAATTTTGGCTCATCGGATAAATAAAATTACCATATCTCAAGCAGATGGCCCTTCGTGTATTTTTGGACAGTTCTTACAGAGGGTGCTTAAATATCGATGCACATGGCCTTCCTACTTAGATGAACTAAAAAACATTGGCTCCTGTATAAAATTCGATAACCCTCATATCATTTAAAGAGTCAACAGGTATCGTTTTTCAAACTTCCTTTCCTTACTTTTTTTATCGAACAAATCTGCATAAATTTCGTCACCTTTACAGGTTTACAATAAAAATCTCGATCAAAGCGAAAGATGCTTATTATTTAAAGATTTTTTTTTAAGAGATTTTGGAAAAAGAAAATTTATAAATTGAAATATACATAATATTCTAATATATTTCCTATAATAATAATTACCATTAAAAAATAATTTAGATCCCTTAAAATCCTTAAGTATCATGATTTACAGGGGGAGAATCTGAAATTTAAAAAAAACTAAAGTAAGGAAAACTAAAAAATTAAAAAAAGATAACCTAATTATTTAAATTATAAAATACTTTTGCCAACACATCCTATGTATGTAATTTAAACTACATCAAATTGTAATTAATCACAGCAAAGAAAGCTAAACGCAAAAGAACTTTGATACGTTCCTCCATATAATTCTCAACAATATTATTTCTAAGTTTTATTTGACAGTTGCTAGAATATACACCCATCTTAATGAATGTAATCTACGTTCAACGATAATCTCGTTTAAATAGCTATTAAAAGCATAATATTTTATTGGGAGAGATAAAGTATTTGCTTCTAATTCTGTTGCGTTTAGAATCCTAGAAACATATGTAAACTTATTATTTATAAAACTAGTTTTATCATACTATATTTTCCCGATTTCATTCTTAAAAATAAAATTTTCATTCCACGGATCTTGATACATTGTCAAATATACTTGACTGTCGAAAAAGTAAGAGGATAGAATTTATTGACTAATAGCACAACGCATAATTCATATTGGTTTGATCAAATAATCAAAGAATAATTAATTTATGAACCATTTGAATCTTCGATTACAGAGACAAGAATATCTTCGATTCTTACTGATATTACCGATCTCTTCATCGTTGCGAGATTCTTTATTTTCATTAAAAAGAGTGAAAATGGAATTTCGAAATGGATCACACGATTCCAAGGATAGAACCGTCTTATTCGAGGACATTGGCTTTTCACCCTTTCGAAACCATGACCCGAGCCAAAGTCTACCCACACCCACTTCCGTTTATCGCGCAGACGCAACCGGCTCTGTTCGACATGATGTGATCCGCATGTATATTACACTCGGAATCTCGTTCACCTCGGTCACATACGGGAGAAAAGCGTTAAACGATCAAAATGCAATTTGCGGTAAACACGGGCCGGGTATAGGGAAATGAATACTGCAGCGTAGATCACGTTTTCCAATACTCATTTAGTTCGTGTTTTCCACTTATGAGGAAATTACTTTAGCTCGGGAGGTTTCGTCGAAATTGGCGACATGGAAGCTTGTGTTATGTCATGATCGAATCGTTCTTTCACCCAATTACCATTTTTTTAAAAAGGAAAATGTATAAAATATTACCTGGATTAAACTTGAGAAATGATGATACAACAATAATTATAAATTTTCTATTCCTTTTTTAACAATTCAGTAATGTTTTAATCATTGTAGTTTAATTTTCAATTAACACTTAACATAATATTTTAATTGTACAATGTGATATTGTAATAAATTATATATTGAATTAATTAACAATAAGTTAAAAGTAATTTAAATTGTGTTCGTTGTCTTAATGCATTTGAATGAGATTGATCTCTTTACCATTTCTTTTAAGAAATTACTCTTTTTTGTAATTGAAATATTATTATGAATTTTCTATCTCTAATTTCTCTTCAAAAAAATATAATTCAAACTGTGTTCCATAAAAACATTACTGAATTTGAGAGTATGAAAACTAATCATCATTTAGAAGAGGAAAGTAATATATGGAAAAATAGCAATAGCTTGATTTGATATTTTGATTGGAAAAAGAGAAAAGAAAGAGAGACAATTTAAAACAAATTCGTTTACAAGACAAACGAAAGGATTTGGAAATCCCGTTATGTGAACATTTCCAATCCAATTTCATCGATGTCACCAATTTTAAAATCGATAAACTAGTTTATTGATCTATTACATCGTCGCTATTCGAAAAAATTCACGCTATGAATTTTATGAGTTTTTTCATCCTACTAACGTATTCTATGCAATCATGTCTATGCAAATACCATATCTCTGTAGTGGTGTTAAACTTTACGAGATTAAACCTTGTAAGGAGTTACAATCATGTACTTATATACCGTGTAAGCTTATAGAAAGCTTCAGAAGCTTATAGAAATTCCATGATACTAAACAGAACCGTAACAAAACAATAAATAAAACATCATTTTAATTCCGTTTTATTTTTCTCTAGTCAGCAATAGTTGCTTTACATCATTTAATCTAATTTTTACGTCATATGTAATACAATTTTCAATGGTTTTGGAAGTTAATACTTGCAAACATCTCTCCATTAAGTTAAAAGAATAGCGACGAGCAAGCAAATCAAAATAACCAACGAAATAAAACAACCACAGAGTATCCATTTTATTTTCTTTGTTACTGTACACATTTTTTAATCTGTAGCAATAATACATTTTAACAATTGTAAATTATCTTCGCAGAATTAAATAAATAAAATGTGAAATAAATTGAAAAAATTTACACAATTAAAAAAGAAATTAAAAATTTTATTGAACTAAATTAATTAAAGAAATTATCGAAAATTTTTTATTTCTTTAAAATGAGAAGAAAGATAATAATCAGACTGAAAACAGTTCTATTACATTCATGACTATTACCTGATAATTACAGCAAGAATGTGATTGTGAATCGCCGAAACTAGCAGTGTTTAAAGATTTGAGCAAACTTTCTGATTCTTGAAAACGTTACTACGTTTTAGCGGCTCGTGATATTCGTTCCCGGAAATTCTATTTCAAGAGGATAACATTAATAGTTGTCGTTCGAAAAAGGAATGATTTTACTTAAGCTACTTTTTCTTATTTTATAATTATAGTTAAGAAATATTTTTATTTCTAAAAATTTTATCGTTTTCAAATTTCAAATTTAAGTATCAAATATTTGGAGATTCTTTTCTTAAATGTTTAATTAGAAATTGTTTCGAAGAATAAATGGACATAATCAAGCAAATATTGTTGCCATTTGCGATATTTCATCTTGAATTTCGCGAAAAATTCGTAACAAAAAATACCATCTGTTGAAGACTGTATTATGTAAATCATAATTTCTAAGTGACAGATGGTGCATCGTCATAGATCACGATACACGTAACAATTTATACGACCATCTATCTTCTTGTAGCATTATGAAATTTCACGTAATCATTAAGATAGAACAAACAACTTCTTCTTTGATGAAACAATAATAAATAAAACTTTGAAATGAAAGAAAAAAATATCCTATGAGCATGTAATATCCTATTCTACATTCTATATTCTATATTCTACAATCTATATAGATTTATCATTTATAATGACATTAATACTATATTTAGTATTTTAATATTAAAAGATAAATAAATAATGTATAAAAAAAATTCATTCAAAGACATATATTCAAAGATATATTAAGATAGAACAAACAACTTCTTCTTTGATGAAATAATAATAAATAAAACTTTGAAATGAAAGAAAAAAATATCCTATGAGCATGTAATATCCTATTCTATATTTTATATTCTATATTCTACAATCTATACAGATTTATCATTTATAATGACATTAATACTATATTTAGTATTTTAATATTAAAAGATAAANGATATTTTTTTCTTTCATTTCAAAGTTTTATTTATTACTATTTTATCAAAGAAGAAGTTGTTTGTTCTATCTTAATCTTAATATCTTTGAATATATGTCTTTGAATGATTTTTTTTTATATTTTATTTTTTTTATATTTATTTATCTTTTAATATTAAAATACTAATACTAATGTCATTATAAATGATAAATCTATAGAATAGAATATAGAAGATTATAGAATATATAAGATAGAACAAACAACTTCTTCTTTGATAAAATAGTAATAAATAAAACTTTGAAATGAAAGAAAAAAATATCCTGAGAGCATATACTTTCTATATTAATAGATTTATCATTTATAGTGACATTAATACTATATTTAATATCTTAATATTAAAAGAAAATGTCATATATTCAAAGATAAATATATGAATTCAAAGATGTATATGTGAAAAAGATTTAATATGAAGAAAAATTTATATGAGGAAAACTATATTAAAAAAAAATGTTACACCGTAACCTTTCTATAATGAATTATTGAACATTTGTTTAATGTGAATTTCAATTAGATAATTTGGGTTCAAACCAAGATTAAATTTATAACATATTATGTATAAGCTAACCTATTTTGATTTATGAATAATAATATTTATATATTGATATGAGCATATACTCATAGTATATATTAAAATGAAAAAGAATTATCGTTCAAATATTTATCAAAAAATAGCATTTGAAATGGTGTCTTTAACTATAAATCTTTTATTTATGTGTAAAAATATAATTTCATTAAAAAATATAAATGAAAATTCTCTTTTTATATTTTATTCTTTAATTCTACTAAACAAATTTTCTGATTTGTAAATGGATACAGGTTATGTTATACAAATAGATTTTTTTATATTTCTGATAGACAGAAATATGATCGAAATTTTAAAAAAAGTTCTAAAATATTAATAAAAATATCGAAATATATCGTTTAAAATATAAAATAGAATATAAAATAGAAAAAAATATGTTGTAAAAATTGTACTCACATTGCTATTGTTCAATCTCAATTGAAACATACTATTCACTTATATATAACATTCCATGCGACGAATATCTATACGTATCTTCTCATATTCCACTCGAATATATTACACAACACACAAAACTAATGAAAGGGTTAAATATTAATTCAAATAAAATAACTTTTACCAATTGTCGTTTCAGTGGTCAAGATTTATGAGGTCACGATCACCGCCAAAGAACACAGTTTCTGAGACAAACACAAATCGTCGAAGAGGCAGATGCTTTCTGATTGGCTGGTGGATCTCGCGCGGATGCGTACGACTCTGACGTCACGCTCGCCCAGTTTGAAATCGTTCCAGTCGTCAGTCGCGCGCCGAACGTCGAACCGAATACATGGGGGTGTTATACGTTTTTTCTCATTAAATTCTGTACGAAATAACGTTATATTTCACGCGCTGATCATCGAAACACAACATCATCGTTGAGAAAGTTCATTAGTGATTATCAATAAAAAAGTGACGTTCGATATTATCGACCATTTTAGTGCAGTGTCATAACGAAAGTTCTACTTTCTTTTCGCGTACTTTTTTCCGTGAACTTGCTTCGATTCGATTGTCGCCGATGATCGTACACAACGAAAAGGAAAACCTTCAATTACGTGATCTATCTTTGTTACTACGCACAATTGACAGCATGCATTTGAGTGATGATGGATAGCATTTCTCCGGTGAATGCATACCAGTGAAACGTTCTGTTCGCGAGACCACGTGATCAGTTTGGGAGGTTATGTAAACGACGCATTTACAAAGCAGCGATATTATAATCTGTCAGACATCGATATTTGTGCATTGCGTATAACCACGTTGATTGGCTGTAATTTCGATATCTCGAATAATCGATGAGAATAATTGCCTGTACATACAACGCTTGATCTGTTTTCGCGTTCGATCGATACTAATTAATCGATATTAGTACGTTAAACGGTCAATGCGCCGAAAACGTTTCAAATTTAGTTTAATATGCGCAACACGGAGAAACGGACCGGTTCAATGGCGTCGATTTGACTTCGTGAAATTCGTGATTGTCCTTCGAAGCATAACGTCCTCGTGTTCACATGCCACACCTGTGTTTTTACTTTTTTTCGAAAGTGTTTCACGTTTAATCTATGCTCTTCGATGAACAAGGGAGTATGATGTGTTGATATTTGTGTCGCATCACTTAAAGCTTGTGTGTCCTGTGTGTGCCAGATGTCAAGACGATAATTGGTGCTGTCTTAAGGACGAGTGATTCATGTCACCATGCTGACGATTGTTTTCCTGCTCGTTCTGGGCCAACTGGTGGTACAGGCGGACTATTTCGGTAAGTTAATTTATTTTCTTTTGTATATGTAGAACAATGCGATATATATACATACATTATTCGTGGCTTTATCGTTGAAAGCTATATTATGTTGATCGATCGTTAATTGTACAATAACGTACAATGCAATGAGAACTTTGAATTTCATTCTTATCGTGTTAGAAATTAGCTAATGTCACGTTTGCAATGATTAGCATGCAATAAAATGATGATTGATATGCGTTTGAATTTGAAGTTAGGGAAAAAAAGGAGAGAATTAGTTTAATAAAGTGAACTATTTCTTTAGTTACTTCATCACGTCATATAATTTGAAAATTAGATATAGGAATATTTATTTTAAATCGACTATATATTATTATTAAATTGCTACCAAGAAACTTACTTTTTTTTCTTATTAGGATTAGAAATAATTTTTCCTGATTTTTTCTGAAAAAAAAAAAAATTAATTAAATATATACATTATTAATGAAACGAAAAAAATTACTTTTAGAGTCATTTGAATAATTTATTTTGATATATTTTTATTTTAATAATGTTCAATATATATTCCAATATATTTCGTATTATTTTTTAAATAATTTCTTTTTTATTAGTTATATTTATCTTTTTCCTTCATTTCATTCCATTTTTTAATACAAATGAAGAATGTATTACGAAATGGCACGAATTTTAATCAAATTGAAGTTTTATAATTATTTTAAAATAGAATCGTAAAAAAGTTTCCAAGCTTTCTTATTCATCTCATGAAATAATGTCTCAATATTTTAAGTCCCATATTTTGACAATCTGAATGCGTTAAATCTTATGTTTTTTTTTTTAATAATCGGAATGGTATGAATGATATCATAGTATGCTATTTTTTTTTCACAATATTAATGCAAGAAAAATAAAGTTAATTAGATATCAATTAAAATTCTTATTGATAGATTTCTATTATCTTTATTTAGAATAGTGTCACACAAATACCATTTCGATGAATAATTTACCTAGATATATCTTTTATTTATAAATTATTAATAGATGAAGCCATATAATAATGATATAAGCATAGTACATTCATAAATTTTTATTCGCTAAGATCAACGTTTACGCGAATTGTTATTTTAAGATTTAATGCAATATGTATTAGTTAGAAAATCAGTAATCTAATCGGCGATTTAAACGCTTAAACCAATCCAGAATAATTCCGTGTTGCGCCACGAATTGTAATAGGATTATATATAATCTGTTCTCGTATTATAAAATTGATATTTATACGTTATATAATAAATTATATTACTGTTAAATTAATTTCTATTATTCGCGATACAAAAGCAGGAGAGTTACTATATGTGAATAAAATATTTTATGAAATTCAGAAATTTTATTTCTCTTTTTTTTTTTTTAATTTTTAATTGAAATTTTTTAATACCATTGTTTGTATTTTTAAAAAATTTTTAAATTTCGGAAATAATAATTACCTCGTCATGGAAATAATATGTTTTTAGAAAACGTCTGCGTTTAATTCTCCCTCAGAAATCTAAGCTGTCTACGATAATTAGTATAATTGCTTAATGAAGTTAAAGTTGCAATGCTGGCACCATATCTGTAATACCAGCATTTTCTCGCATATTAGACTTGGTTAGTTGTGTCTTGCTTCAAAGCTGCAAACCTGGAATCAGCATTCTAAATTAGTTCGCTTTATATATATAATACTAAATTTCATCCAAGTTTTGCAATATAGTTTTCATTCGATAAATTTCATTGAAAATCTTTGAAATCTCATTCAAATTATATAATAGCTAATACAGCAATATAATTTCGTTTGATAAATCTTCGAAAATTTCCATCTCGTAATCATGCAAACGAATGTTGAAGATCTTATAAAACGTGATAGAAGTTTCTTCGAAGAACCGGTATTCGTTTCGAGCCAAGCCTGAAGGCATTCATAAAAAGGACAACGTGTTTTTGCGATAGTTCTGCTAATTAAAACACGATTGCACCTTTTATAGATTGCAATTTATTGCGTAAAACTTTTTGCATTTGTTTCACTGTAGTTGGACGCGACAGTTTGCAAAAGAGTTCCTTATAACGAATTTTACTTGAAAAGAAGGATTTGTTCGATATTAGCGAAATAATTTCTATTTTATTTCATTTCGTTCGCTCTTTTTAACTTTAATTCTATTTTTCTTTTATCTTACAACTTCGATCATTGAAATATTTGTTTCGTAAAATATACATATTCTGAAAAATAGTGTTTGTTACCCGAAAGATCTATGTAACGAGTGTTTAGTTAATTCTCGAGAGCATGGAATATTTAGAAACGTGGTTAGATACATCCGAAGTGATTGCATATTTAACAAGTAGAATCCATAGAAGCTATTTAGCTTTATATTATTGCAATTATCAATGAACATGGTAGTCAACAATGAATATAACGATGAAATTTAACGAAAATATAAATTATTTTCTGTCATATATTCCTTAAACTGGTATTGCTAATTTAATATTCAACGTATTCTTAGTAATGTAACGTTATATCCACACTCTTGGTTACTCACCTCATACGTTATTCCTTCATGTGTTTGCTTAATACGATGCTGACGCATATCGCTTAGATAAACGGCATGTAACACGTGTTATAGACAAGAGATTATAGACGAATCACGTTACAGTAATGCAAAATGAAAGGCGAAGAATTCTCCTCGTGGCCATACTCGGATGAGATTTACCATCATATCGAGTGATCGTGGTTGTTGAAAGGTAAACGGAAGTGGGAGTGTCGATGGTTACGATGTATCAACTTGTAATTAAGCTGATTTTATTTCACCGGTTAAACAGTTTTTTCTGATCGATGAATAATGGATAAACGATCGCCGAATGTTTACCAAACGGAACTCCGCGAAGATTTCTGAAAATGATTATGCAAATGAGTAGGATATCTCGTATAGGAAATATTGTATGATGGTAATGAATCATAAATCTTGTTCCGTTTGTAGAATTTTATTACTAATCGATGAAGTTTATTTTTAAATTTAAGAATTTATAACGCTTACGTTAATATATCTGAAATTCTTAGTATACTTTACGATTTTAATAATTTACTGATAATAATAATTTATATAACAGTGATGCAAAATTTGAAATTTTAGAAAAGGGATATGTAAATTCTAAAATATTAACGTAAGTGTTAAAATATTGAATATGATTTCCTAAAAACCATAGAGTAATTAGTGATACTAGAATGAATGGAAGAAGCAAACAAAAACATAGGTGACAAACAATGAAACTGTCGATTAAAGATGATGATAGATCAATGCGAAAAAATTAAAAAAAATCAATCGATGCATCGATATATAATCTAATAGATTTTGATATCAAATATTTTAACCAAAAGAATCATTTATATCTTATACAATATTCTTTTAAACTCACTTTAAGAAACATACCTTCCATATAATAATAATCGAAATACATCGAAAAATACGTTCAACTCCGCGTTTCAATTTCCATCCCGTTTCTACGTGAAAAATATATCGTGTTCGAAGCATCAACCGTTCTATCCACCATTGCGCAAGATGAACGGCTCCATTCACGACAAGCAGAAGCAACCGAAACCGAAACTTGGCGTTCATTTTCCGCGATACCAAGAGAACTGGTGCTTATCGATCGAGGTTACTTTCGAGGAATATCGAGCCACGACGATCGAGCGCGGTATCTGAAAAGTATCGAATCGAACGGATGAGGGTGAGACGAAAAACTCGGGCAAACTTCTCGAGAAGACGTTGGGGGCGGCGAAATGGGAACGGGAGTAAGAATAATGAAAACAAGAGGGGGAGAAACGGTTCGAGGAGAGTGGTTCGCCCATTCGGTTTGCGGAAAAGCGACGAAAGCGCGTAATTACCCCCGTAAATCTATCGGGCATTTCGCGAAAAAAGGGCGGGATTCGTGAGACGTGTAATCCACGAAGAATCCAACCAAGCGGGAAGGACCCTCTCGCGCCCTTTCCACGACGCTTTGTCGATGCCCGGTCATTCCGATCGCTCGTAAATTCTTATTATAATTGGCGTGAATCGTGATTGGGCGAGCAATTCGGAAGTTCGAAAAGTTGCCGGCGTCTCCATAAATCGTGGCCGGTGACGGTGGATGATTACGAATCCTCGCGAGTGGGGAAAGTAAGAAAGTAAAAAAAAAAAAAAAAAAAAAAAAAAGAAAAAGAATACGTGAAAGGGGAAGAAAATGGGAAGAGGTTAATATATAAAGAGTAGGGAGAGAAATGAAGAATGGAATGGTTTTTTCGTCGTCGAGAGAGAGAGAGAGAGAGATAGGCCTTTGCTGGAAACTGGTCTCATTGGTTGCAGTGTTTGCAATCGACTAAAGTACTCCAACGATCTCATCTTAAGATGTCATCTGGCCGGGGTTGATATTTTACAGTAGATAAATTACACAGATACGGAGAAGATGGGATACGAATTCTTTGTTCCGTTGCTGGGGCATAAATCGATTGAACTCATTGTACGAGATGAATATATATGTTTTGATCGTCGGAAAAAATGAAAGCTAGATGATATATCATTTCCCCGTTTTGAGAGAAATCGGTCGATGCATCGGTCAGATATATTAATTTTGTATGATCCTAGAATATTTTCTTTCTTCTCTTTTCGAAAAGATGAGGATATCGATCTTCTCGTTTTATCATTTTGCATATATCCTATAATTTATACTACGCTCGTATATCATAGTTCCCAGGGAAACGTTTCTAAAAGGGAAATTTTATCGCGACAGAATTTCGCAGTAGGTACATCATAAAATTATTTCTCGTGGTCGCGTTATGCGTTCGCTCCGGTGTTTCTCGTACATGCTGCGTTTGTTTAATTATTAAAAATGAGGTCATTCATCACGAAAGTACGCGCTCTATTATATATATATATATATGCGCTTTGTGAGGAAACAATACACAGCCCATGTATAGGAAAAAGCAGTGGCGAGAATTTACGTTTTTCTCGAAAGGTAACGGATTT